TGAGCGCCCTGCAGCGCCGACAGCAGCCGCTGCTGCTCTCACACACATCATCCATCCGTCATCTGCCAGCATTGTCTGAACACAGCCTACCTTATTCAAACAGGCTTCAGTTGCGTGCAGGGTTACCATCACAGCTTCCTGCAAACCTGTGTCATTTTCATGCTCTGCTGTAACTGATTGGCAGGCACTGCATTGCACAGCTGTAATCTCCCAGAGAAGCCTGCCTGTGGCCAGGGATGTGTGACCGGCCTTGCAAAAACTTGGACCAAATTCAATCCTTTTAAATAAATATTCTGTTACTCTGCCCATTACTGTGGAATAATATCCATAGAATAATACAGAAAACTGATACTAAATATGCAGTGCTAGAGCAAGAGGGTGTCAAGAACAGAAATGTTTCTGTTTATTTAGAAAGCATCAAGATTCTAATTGAAAAATCATAGAAGTTTTCATAGCTTCTCTGTGTTTTGATATATCTAGTGACATATCTACATATGTCACTAGATACAGAGATACTATATGATCTTTCACATTTCTGGATGCTATTTCTTAAAACTGTTTAATTTTAAATAACTTGGATGAAAGAATTACTGCTCAGTGATTCATTTAAGATTTTTTGTCAAATTAATTACAGGTTACTCTTCCCTGCCAAGGGAAGACTCAAATTATAAAAGGCCACAACTGCTGCTGTCAAACATAGTAATTATATGCTAACCTAGTGTAATGGTTTGACACTGGCGCAATGCTAGTGTCCCTATGCAAATGTACTTTCTCGAATAAGTGTTGTGAGATGTGATCAGGAACAGAGCAGAGTAAGCTCAGTTTAGAAATAAAGGGAAAAAACTTTATGATAAAAGACATCCACTAAATCTAGAATGAAAACTTTCTAAAATATTCCTCCTCTCCTCACCTAAATTCTAACAAACTACAGTGAGACACAACTTGGACTTTCAGTTAAGTTACTACCCTTCAGATAATTAATACTCAGTCTATCAAGGGAGAGAGGAGTTTTTCTTGTACTATAGATTCCCAGGAAACACAATTGCCACCTTTTCTGTTTCCAGATTTTCTCCATGGCACTGCCCAGAAAAAAATCTGCCGGTCTGACACTCTGTTTTTATGTTACAGTGTTCTTATTACTGTGCATAGACAGACTGCTCATAGGGCTGCTTTAAGGACTCTTTGCCAAGGACTAAAAGAAACAAGTTTCGTTTCTCGTCTCTACTAGTTTCCTCTTCTCCTGGGGCCAAGGGTGTAAATAAAGATTTTTTTTTTTTTTTTTTTTTTTTTAAAAAATTTTTTTTTTTTTTTTTTTTTTTTTTTTTTTTTTTTATGATTGTTTGTGTTATCACACCCTCTTCAGCTTCTCTCTTCACTCCATTCTTGTGCTGGTAGTTGCTGAAGCAGGTTTTTTAGCTTACTCTTGCATCTCCTTAAAAATGCAGTCTGTTGCAGGAGAAATTGCTTTAGTCTATTGCTAACAAGAAAAGTCCAGCTAAAAGCCACTCTATCATCTCATCCCAACTTTCTTTTCTTAACATCTCAGGTCTTAGACTGTCTCTCTTCTCTTTCAAATTGAGGAGGAGTAATATTTCATAAAGCTTTCATTTTTCAGGAAAGGGTTAAAAGGCCCGGACTCAATCTTGCATGGCTGCCCCTGCCCACCCAGCCCGGCTGGGCAGGGGAGGTCTGCTCCCTTTGATGACCAGAATCAAAGAGACAGTTCTCCTGGGAGTTCTTGCTTTTAACCCCCTCTGTTCTCAGAGGCGTGCCCAGCCTTCAGCGGTCACTCCAGGTGTTAATATCTAAACCTGACCACTGATTAGTTTTACTCTCTTCTTCTTGAGAAAATTCACTTCCGTGTCAAACCATGACACCTAGGCTAAATGAGAACCAGTGTAAAATGGGATATGTAAAAGGACCCTGTAATTTACTATGGTATAGTTAATTTACATCATTTTTAAAAAGGAAAACTGCATTTCAGGCAATTGTTTGGCTAACCTAATGCTTCCAGGGGGAATTCTTTGTCAGCATGTATCCATTTCAGCTCCAAGAAGATATTCAGATTTGAATTTTCTCTCAAAAAATGTGTAGATGTGTTTGAAGACATTTCTTATTCTTCTGCGTGTACAGATCACTCCAGTAACCAAAGACTTCTTATTAAATATGAATGCATTTGTTGTTCCCAGCCCATTTCCAGACATGTTTTCCAAGGAGGTTCTGCATTTGCTGCTATGCAGTGCAGCTCTCCCTGAGAGCAGTCAGCCCAGCGGCAGCTTGCTCTGAAGTGAAAGCAGCAGAGCTGTAGAAAGATTTCTGAATTTTCCTGTGCAGTGCCCAGCAAGTTACAGAGATGGCTGCAGAAAGGGTTTGCATAGCTTTCTCTTACTTATTCTAATTTAAGCATTTTCCTGCATGTACTTTATTTAATAGGCATTTGTGTCAAACCACAGCATATAGATGCAACTAAATTAATAAAAAATAAGGAAACTAGGGCAAATTTCTGTATTTCAGAAGAAAGATGCCTGCATTTTCCCACATGTACCAAGCAGTGTACATTTCAAGGAAATCGAAATGTAACTTTAAATTGAAATTCAACTTGATTTCAACATCTAAGATGGATATCATGGAAATCCTCAGACAGATCCATGTGAATGCAGCCTTCCCGTAAACTCTCATCAAGAATTCAACTACTCCGGACATTGAATTATTTCTCCTCATCACCAAAAAAAAGAAAACCTATAGACTCTGAATAGAAGAAAAGACTAACTGCTCAAATCTTGGCCTCAGGCGGAATTTTCCCTATAAAAACCGCTTGTGCCAGGATGGAGGTGTGTGGGCATAGGAGAAAACCTCTGCTGAGGCTGACTCCTTGTTGCACACCCAGGGTCGACCCAGGGCTTGGCTCTGTCCTTTCCGTGTGGCTGACTAGATAGAATTTGACCGCAAATAAAATTATTTTTATTTTTAATCTGGCTGAATAAATTCTCATTTATAACAATCACCTATCAGATATCTGGTTGCTAGAATCTTGAATGCTACTCAGAGTAGTAGCTGTACTAACCTTTATCCTGAGCTCTGAAACATCAGCTCCAACAGTCCCTCCACACACACACACACACACACACACACACTTAAATAAGACACAAGGGGGGGGGTGGGGTGGTGGGGCGCGGGTGTTACCAAGGCTCTCCAAATTCTTGTACAAATCAGAAGTTCTAATATATAAGACTGGGTTAAGAACAGTTACCAGGTACTTCACCTTTGCCATCATGCTGCGGCTTGTAGTTTCTCCTTCCTCTCACTAGGTCTAGTCTGAGTTATTTTTATAAGTTTGGTAAGACACTTATGTTTAGACCTTTCTTTTTTTCCCCTGGTCTGCAGCTTCAGGTTACATCTGAATTTACTACATATAGTGCCATTTATTTATGTTACAATCTATTTGTTGGTTCTCTTTGTTACTCCCAAAGTCAAGTTTACAGAGCCAGGTCTGCATTTTTAATTTTTTTAAACTAAGCATCAATGAGTTGTTCATAGATGCTCTAGTCCCCAGGCTGTTCCCATCGCTGTTGCCATGTGTGTAGCCTGTAGCAGCATCAGGCTGTAAGCTTTGCACCGGCTTTGCATGGCCTGGGGACCAAGGTCTGCTCAGTTTGACCTTGTGCTGACCTGTCTTCAGTTTTGTTTTGCTTGGCACACCTGTGACAGCAGTTTCTAGTGTGATTTGTGCAAGGATAGTCATGGGTTTATGTAGAGAGCAGCAGCAAACATTTCCTGTAGATAGGATACTTAGTACTCTTAGACAATGGCATAGTGCAGAAAAACACAGGCCTGGTACAGCAGCAGAGACCTCGTGGTGTGAGGCATAGGATGAAGGAGTGCAGAGGGAGATAAGGGTTGTTTGTGTGTGTGTGTAATGTGGGTGACACAACACCAATAAAACAGGAGCCTACAGCACGGCACAGAATTGTGCAAAGATGCATCAGCAGAGACACGAGGGGCAAATGACCCTTCCCTAGCCCTGTGCATGATAACCAGGACAGCCCCCATTAGCCTGAAATATTCGCTTTATCATGGATGTCTCTGCCTTTGAATATAGTAAACGCTGGGAGCATTAGGAGCTGTTGCCACATTCTCCGCAACACTAAGTAATGCATGGCACAGAGCCAGGCTGAAACAGAGCAGCTTAAGAACTCAGTTTCAATTCCTCACCTACAGACTGACCATTCTGTTTTGGCAAACCAAGAGAAAAGCGAAGTTTCAGTTTCTTTTTCTCAGTGATTTCATCACAGATCCCATGAGGGTGAGACCAAATAAAAGGGAAGGCATAACAGCTGGGGGCAGCACTCCTTTGGCTTTGGGGCTATCTGAAGACAAGTGAGCAGAGAAGGAAAGCCATGAGGTAAGAAAGCAATCCAGTCTCTGAAAGATGTATTTTTTTCCTCTATGCCACAGGAAGATAATGCTTATTATTTACATAAATGTAAGCAGTGAGGGACTTTGAGCATCTAAACAATGGAAAATATTTCACAGAATATTTAGAGAAGAATCAAAATAAAATAAGGATGCTCTTGAATGTTGTCATGTTATTGCTTCTCTAATGAGGCTCAGTCTCTGTGAGTAGAACAGAAAGTCAGAAAAAGTTTGTGTGTGCAGTGTGGGGATGAAATCCAGGATGCAGCAGGTGCAGCCAAAGAGGTATCATCTGTCTCTCAAACCTGTGTTTGTGATTCCCTCTTGATTTGCTTTTTCATAATTTTGCAGTCTTTCCACTCAGTCCTTTTTTTACCCAAAAGATTTGATTGTGCAGTTGAGCAGCAGCACATGTGCCCCACAGGGTGTTAGACCTGTTAGGAGTTACAGGAGGGACAGCAAGGAAGTGTTTCTCAGGAAGATTTGACTGAGAAGCCTCAGTCATAGACTTGTTTGTCAATCCTTCTTTAATTAAGGGAAAACACAGTGTGGACTAAAATGTAATGTCTGTGTTGTAAAAATGCCCCCTTGATTGTGTGATAAAGGCCAGTCTGTGCACCCACACAGGTAGGCAATGGCAGCAAGGGAAACCCAAGTAACACCCTGCCCTGCTGGCTCCCAGGCCCCATTTGGGAAGAAAAAGCTGCTGAATGATGGAGAGGGATTGTCCTGATTTCATCTGGTAGAGAGTTAATTTCTTCTCAGTAGCTGGTTTTGGTTTCATTATGCCAATTATGTGTATAACACACTCACAATTTGTTTGTAGTTGTGTTTATCCTACTCAAGGACTTTTTTGTGTCTCATGCTTTGCCAGTGAGGAGGTGCACAAAAAAAAGCTGGAGAGGGCACACCTGGGGCAAGTGATCTGAACTGGCCAAAGGGCTATCCCACACTAGAGAATATCATGCCCAGTATATAAACTGAAGGAGTCACCTGGAAGGGGGCTGATTGGTGTGCAGGGACAGAGTCTGGCAGCAGGTAGTGAGCAATTGTACTTTGCACCCCTTGATTTTCTTTGAGTTTTATTTTTTCTTTTTATCATAATTATTAATATTTACTATTACTATATTTTAATTTGTTTCAGTTATTAAGATTTATTAAATTCTGATCTTAACCTAGAATTTTTACTTTTGATTCTCCTCCCTGTTCCACCAGTGAGGGACAGGAGATGAGTGAGGAGTAGCATCATGCTTGGCTGCCAACTGGGCTTAAACCACACCAGGGATACAGGAGTATTAAGGATCAGTAGAATGTCACCAGGGTCTGGTTAATAAGGGTGTGTGAGTGTGTGTGTCTAGGGATGAGGCACCTGGGGACAGAGAGAAGCTCCTTAATCTGCCACTAGACATCCAGAGCCAGCATCTGAGAAGCCACAGGGGTTAGTGAGTGAGTGAGTGTTTTGCACCAGCAAGTGGAATGGGGTTGCATACTCATGGGCTGTGCATCCAAGTGCCAGCAATGGGAGAGGCTGGGGAGATCTGGGACCCAATTCCTGGATATATTAACCATATAATCAGTATAACCATTACATAAGAATGGTGCTATGATCGTACAAGGATTTAAAAATGCAGGAAATTCAAAATTAAATTCATAATACAAACCACAGCATGTACAAAGTTTAGGAAATGGACTAAATCACATTATTTATAGTTTAAGGGAATCTTATGTGATTAAATTTTTCGGATAAGCTTCAGCAATTTGTTCCCAGCACAGGAAATATGTTCCTGAGGCCCAAGGGTGTGCCACCTGTACTACAGAGACCAACCTTCCATTTTAACATCCACAGCAACATCTGTTTCTGTGTAAGAGGTGCCATCATACACTGGCAAGAAGAATTACTAAAATCACTATTCAGCACTTTGGACCTAGGGCTCCCTACAGCTTTGGCTTGTAGTGTGGGGCACCAAGTGAAGTATTGCCTGCCTTTAAAGTACATCATGCCTGGTTTAAAAACAAGATTAGCAAAAGGTAAATGGGGTGTAAATAACTTTTTCTTTGATTTCTTCTAGTACCATTTCCAAGGATTCCTTGAAGACTTCCCTGTTGCAGTTAGAATGTCATTTTACGTGGGCTTTGCTGAAGAAGCATGTAAGTCTTGAGGCCCTAGAGGAAACCATACTTAATCATATCAAGTTTTTGTCAGAATATGAGATTAAAGATTATAATATGCTCTCCTATGTAAATCACCTAAAGAATTCAAATGAGAAAGCCCTGGAAAACCTCAAAAAAGCTGAAGAAGCTATTCAAAAACGTCATCCGGATGAAATTGCCAGGAGAAGTCTTGTTACCTGGGGGAACTATGCCTGGATCTATTACCACATGCAGAGATATGAAGAAGCTCAAACTTACGTAAGCAAAGTGGAAAACAGCTGCAAGAAGCTTTCAAGTACTGCTCATGGGAAGATGCAGCTTCCAGAGATCTACGCTGAGCAAGGATGGGCATTATTGCGTTTTGGGAGGAATTACTTTGCGAGGGCAAAGAATTGCTTTGAGCAAGCTATGGAGAGTGAGCCCGATAACCCAGATTTTAATGCTGGCTATGCAACAGCCATGTATCGCTTGGAAGGTGACTCTCAGTGGTTTGGTGGAGAGCTAACACCATGCCTCACTGCCCTGAGGAAGGCAGTGGAACTGAATCCACAGGACACTACTTTAGCGGCATTACTTGCATTAGAACTTCAGCGATTACATCAAGGTCATAAAGGGGAGAGGTACATTCAAGAAGGACTGCAGAAAACCCCTGACTTTCCTGTTTTCCTGCGACATGCTGCTAATTTCTACAGAAAGAAAGGAGAAGTGGACAAGGCAGTGGAGATTTTGAAGAAGGCCCTAGCACTGACGCCAAACTCTGTCGTTCTGCATCACCAACTAGGACTCTGCTACAAATTCAAGGCACTTCAATTGAAAAAGACAAGACACTCACCTCAAGAGGAAATGGCAAATTTTATGCAGCTTGCCATTTTTCATCTTAAAACAGTGATTGACAAAAAGCCAGTATTTTTTTATGCTTATAATGACCTAGCAAAAACATATGCAATAAGCAAGAGGTATGAAGAAGCAGAAGAGATATATCAGAAAGTGCTTCAGAAAAATGATATGGCATGTGAAGAAAAACAAGAAATCTACTTGAATTATGCCCATTTTCAGCAGTTTCACATGAAGTCAGAATCAAAAGCCATTAAATATTACATAGAATGTCTGAAAATTGAAGCAGGTTCCTATGCAAGAGAAAAGTGCAGTGAAGCTGTGGAGACATTATTGAAACAGAAAATTGAGAGCGGTTTAGGAGATGCCACCGATATTGGTACACTTGGACTTGTTCATAACCTAAATGGTAAGAAACAAGAAGCGATTGAATGCTATGAGAAAGCCATTGCTTTGGATCCCAACAATGAAGAATATCTGAATACATTAGCTGATCTACAACTTTCCATCTCAAGCTAAAGCTCACAAAAATCCTGTGTACCAAAAAATTGTGTACCCCAAACCAAGGAGGTTTCAACACCATCAAAACTTTTTTTGTTGTTTGTTTTTCTTTTGATAATATAGAAACTGCAGACAATTATTGATTTGTGCATTGACTAACAGAGCATGCTTGGATAGCTATATATTTATAGCTCATCTAACTTAGTCTTCAATGCTAACATGGGTATAAATATTGTATTTAAGTGATGGTCTGTAGAACTTCTATGCTGAAATCAGATACTACCTTCTTAGAAAAAGATAAGGGAATCATATTGTTGTGTTTTTCTCTATCCTTTAAGGGCATGCTTATACACAAATAGATTTTTAAGCTTTTTTAAGTGTATCAAAAATGTCTTATGTAGAATAAACTCCTGTTGAAGGCTTGTTCAGTTTACTACCTCGTGTGCTGTTTAATTATGAAAAATACTTTTTAGCTAGTCCACCGGAAAGTTTACAAAATGTGTATTATTGTTGTGAGCTATTAAAGTCTGTTGAATCTATAAACTGTTGCTTCTGGGTATCTCTCTGATGACCAGCCTTCATGTTAGTAGATTAAATAAAGAGAAATAGCCATTCAAAAAAGTAAGAAGGATAGGGTTTTGATAGGATATGAAAGGCTGAGGAGACAGCCCCATTCATTTCTCTGAGCTCTCAGCAAATCTGGCTCCAGGGGCATTACACCAAAGAATTAAACTGTGCACAAAACAGCATTTGTCTAGTTTTCCCAAAATACCCTATCAGGAACCACAGCAGCAAACATCTGGAGAGGAAGGAAGAACACTCCTTGAGATGCCCAAGAGATGGTTGTGGCCATTCTAGTCAAAAAAGCCAGGGATAGCAAACACACACAAGAAATTACCTAAACTGAACATGGAGGGGAGAGTACAACCAGAGCACATTTGGGTGACCACCACAGAACAGGGCAGGGGAACATAAGGGGCATGTGGAAAGAGGGGTGGATGCCTGAAGCAGCACTTCAACAAGTCCCAGAGACCAGCCTGCGCTTTTGGGGTCTGGAGCACACTTGCAAAAAAGCTAATGAAGAAAGGCAAAGGACAGATCTGTCTTTGGAGTTCCAAAGGCTATTTATTGCTCCCAAGACAAAGAACAGTGTGGAGGGCACAGGGTTAATTATGAGAAAAAAGGGGTGGATCTGAGGCCAAGGACCAATGGGAACAGGGAAAAGTGGTGCAGGGGAGGAGCAGCAAACAAGGGGGACCAATGGGATAACAGGGGCAGAATGCTGCAGCAAATTGGGGCCAACAGGGATTGAGAAAGGGGAGATGATTCTACTGCATGTACACATATGTGAACGGGGGCTGAATGGGGGTGGAATTGGGAGAACCAATGAAACTCGAAATATTAACATATGCATGTGAAGGCCCATGGGAGGGAGGCTTGTGTTTCTCCTAGCTTGTTTCTGCTCTTCCTAAGTTAACGTGCTGTTACTTCAGTGGTAGGATTTTGGGCCTCCACAGGTGCCTATAGGGTATACATGATTGGAAGAAAGTGCTGAAATGCCCAAAGTCTGCAACTGTCCAAGTAAATTTTGATATTTTTTGTAGTATTCTGTTCTAAATAGTGACAGCAAACTGTCAACAGAGCCCATCAAGAAGGATGTGCACTTTAGTTTCTAGCCATCCTGGAGCATTCCCGCCACCACCAACAGCACCCCTGTACAGACAGGATGACAAGCCATGAAGGAGTGCAAAACACCAATGCCAGATCAAAAAAAATAACAATAAACCTCCTTCTTCTTAGCTCTCCTTCAGAGAATCTTTCATAACATGAGCAAAAGCAAATCTTGAGGGCTTCTAAGCTCAGCATCATTGCTATCTAAACTCCATGGAGGGCCTAGAGAGTGGAGGGCAGCAGAGAAGAATTTGAGGAAGAGGTGGTGCAAGCCATGGTGACACATCCATTCTCCCCTCTACACTGCCACCAGAACATCTCCTGAGAAAAGAACCTTGGAGAAATAAGGATAAGCTATAAATTATTTTGGAGAAAAAAAATAAGAGCCGGAATTTTTATGAAGAGTCATAGTAGCTCGATCTGCACAGTGAAGAAACTGTGAGACATAGTAATGCAAAAAGTGTATTTGTTGTGCTTCACCTTCTTTGCACTCTGCAGGACTGCTCTGGACCACAGATGCCTGGGGATGCTCCCAGATATCCTCCAGCCTTCTGGATTTTGCCTGTCTTGTAAATGAGGAAAAACGTTATTTCCCACTGGGTGGTGCTGCTGCATTGCCTGATATGCTACCATGGGGAGCAGGTTGAGTTGGAGCTTTGGGAGGTAGAGAAAATAAAACACATTTTGGAGAAGTATGTGGGTTTTTTGGGCAAAACTAGAGCTGCACAGAGGCTGAACATACCTGTTAATTCACACCCAAGTATGAATACATTACTGAAGCTAATGCTAGCAGTGTAGGGAAAAAATGAGTAACAACAACACTTCAGGAAATATCAATTTATGACTCACAAGCACCTTCTAAAGTATATACAACATTTTACTGAAGTATACCAGAATAATCACTAAGACAGTATTATTTATTGAGGCAAACTAAGCAATTTGCTATGCTGACCATGAAGTAGTGTTACAGTTTAAGTTAAACAAGCTCTTCCTTCTCACATAAATTTGTAACACTTTACAAAGCAATAATGTGTGGCAATGTAAAATATATTAATCATATAGTAACACAGCCTTTATCTTTCAGGAGATAAATTATTATCCAAGCTGACAGGAATGTTTCAGGAATACTTCTTCTGAAAAAAGAGTCATTTTTCAGCAGAAGGTGCTTGACTTTTCCAATGATGTTTTCACACAACTTTCCAAGGCACAATTTATCAAATGTTCCAGATTATCACTAGAATATAAATAATTTCAAAATAATTATTATTTCCCCATTTCAAACCTCATGGAATGAAGACACATGGGATAACTTCAGCAGCTGTAAGCAGTTTCACTTACTTACACTGAACTTCTATCCACTGCACAGAACAGAGCATAATCCCAGGTGGGATCCATCTGAGGCAGAATCTGTGTTGGACAGATGTTACCCCAAGCCAAGTCCCACCACGCTGTCCTGGGAAGCTGGACAGGCTCAGCAGTGCAGTGCTCCAGCCGAGCTCATATCCATCAATGCTTGTGTCCATTGGGGCTGGTGGGAACATAGAATTACAGGATCATTAAGGGTGGAAAAGACCTCTAAATCCTCAAACATTCAGTGTTCATCTGGCAAATTGTTCACAGCTAGCTCGGGTATCTTGACTTATTTTCCTACCAAGCCATGCCAGGAAATGTCCTCCATGGAGGACAGCCTGAATATTATGATCTCTGAAAAAAAATATTGCCGATACCATAAATCATTCTTTAAAACCATTGTAAGCCAGAGATTTCTATAATGCATTGCCTGAAATATTTCACATGGCAGGATGAAGGTGATCTGTTCAGCCTGGGTTCTGTGGGGCAGGAGCTAGAAGTTAGTCCTGAGGCTTCACCGGCCTGGATTGTATTCCCATTTCTTCCACTTGCAGATCATCTCCTGCGATGCTTCTCTCCTTCCGCTTCTTATTGGGAGCATTCATGACAGGGCTGATATTTCACAGTGTGCTTTATACACAGAAGTCTTTATTGCAGTATATAAGCTTTTCTCCATTGACTTAAGTCAGAGCAGAAACAGTATTGGAAAGCCCTGAAAGAATTTTACCATTTTCTACAAAAGGTCTGTGGATAAAACCAGTTGAATGTTTGCTGCTAAATAAGATATTTAAAACACTAAGTACTGCTTAAAAACCATAAAGGGAAAAGCCTATGAACAAAAATGTTAAAATAATAAAAAATGCTAATAATGTATTACACAGGGTAATTTACTATGATAAAAATGCACATAGCATTATTCCAACAGGCTTTTACAATATGCAGTTCCGACATGAACAACAGGTAACATGTTATGATGTGGTAAACAAAGTAATTATATTTTTGTAAATTTATTTACGGTGGGAATTTAAAACTTGTTAAAAAATTATATTTTTGGTTCACCACACTATTCTCTACTTTTTAAAATATTAAAATATTGTATTAAGATCTAAACCGTTATTTTCATCAGTACTAATTAATAAAACAAATTAAATTTTTTTCAAAATATGCATGTCTTTCCTAACACATTAAGATAATATTTGGCTTTTTTTACGAATATATGTTAAAAACTAAACTGGGGACCAAGACTCAATTTTCATGCTGAGCTGAAGAAAAGTTATGTCATTGGCTTTAAGAAGATTTTGCACTGCTCTTGCTTATTCTATGGTCTGTGCACATAGATCATCCTACTGGCTCTGACTACATTCCTGAAGCAGGACAGTGAGAAAGGCTTCATTTAAACACAAATTATTTTGTTATATTTGAAATACACTTGGATAATAAAACTACTTGATACACATGCTATTCATATATATATGTGTGTGCATATAAATACATTATACTCCTATGGCTGTACTCTTGGTGTAAATCCAATTGATGAACATCAGTCTATGTTGCTTTCTCTTCCAAGGCACAGGGTGGAAAAGGACACCATGAGCAGCCACTGAATACACTGCAGACTAATGAAACTACTAGTTCAATGTAAGTGAAAATTACTTGGACTCTGATCAATTTGTTAATGAACAGAATACAGCTTGATACAGCATTAAAACACTGAAACTATTTGTATTGTAGAATGTGAAGTTTTCCATTGCTGACAATGTTTTCACTCTGTAAATATAGAAAATCACAGTATTTATTAGACCATCACATCAGTAAGTTACCCCAAGAGCTACATTCACTCCCTAGCTCCGGTGAAGCAGCCAGCTGGAGTATATTCCTCACACAAGCAGCAGGAAACTATCAGCAAGTCACAGCTCTTGTGTTCTGGCCATCAAGGAAAAGTGACCTAACAGCTCTTCAGATGGTACAAATGAGCAATTGGCACCACCTGAAGAGCAGCTTCTGTGTCTGAAAAGAGACAGACTTGCACTGCAATACACAGAAACAATTCTGCCAGCATCCTCTCCACGATCAGCCTGTGGGGTGGGCAATTTCTCAGCCGTCTGGTTCCATGAATTCTAAAGCTCTCTAATAGGTGCTGATTTTACACGAGGAAGAGGCTCTGTGTTTGAAAACACAGGAGCCTCTCTGGTCTCTCGGGCTGCCTTTGGGCTTCTTCCAAGGAATGCAGTTAAAGCACATTTGTCTGTCATCGTGCCTGGTCCCATGGCACAAATTTACTCCTCTTCAGATAAGCAGAGCCACCACAGCACATTTTCCACCCTCCAAGACAAGGATCATCTGAAAGATCATACCCAGAATGTCAGTGTTTAGAAGTTCAAGTTTAAAAGGTATCCAGAAGAAAAAAGAAAAAAAGTAAAACTTGATATAGAGTGTGTGGGAAAGCAGATCTAAAACCATATTTGAAATTAAATTGCAATGTATGTACAAAGTTCAGGCACATTGTAAAAATTAAAGCTGCTCCAGAGATACTTTCAGCATAAATCAGTTTCCTGCCAGATTTTCTAAAAACAAAAACAAAACAAAAGCAAAACAAACAGATGACTTTGGGATTTGAAACACTTATTTGCAAGGACTTTCATGCAGACTGATAAATGCAGAGATTTTTTCATGGTGTGTGTTATTAGTCCATTGAAACATACTAGACCAAAAAATGAAAAAGCTTGTGTCATTAATAATATTTTTAAAAGTAAATGTTATTGTTCAGTTTTGGTCCTGTAGAGATCCCTGTGGAGTCAACATTGTATTTCAAATAAATCTGTGAACACTTGTATCTACAAACTGTATTTTCAGTCTAGCTTTCTTCTATTGCTGCATTAACTTGGCATTACTGTTGCCATATTTAGATTTAAGCCACCTAAAACATGACAGAAGAATCTAATTAGAGGTCTTGTTTCACAGGGAAAGTGTCTTCAACAGTGTAACACCACTGAGTGCCATGTCTGCCTCAGGCTGTGCCCTACTGAAACTCAACAGCCCCTGTCACCTGTTGCTGAAGCTGTTTGTATCCACAGCCAAAAATTCAACATCCCTTTGGTCTAATTCTGCTGTGACAGAATAAGCTATTGCTCCATTTGTCCAGATGTGCTGTTTCAAGGCCGTGTTACCAGTGAAGGATGGCAAATGTGTTTTTTTGATTTTCTTTGCTAGTCTTGCAAAGCACAATAGTGCTGAACTAAATATCATAGAAAATCCACACAGGAGAAATGATGCAGTATAGCTGCCAGTTGTGTCCACAAGCCAACCTGTAGGGGGAAAAAAAATTTTTTTAGAGGTCCACCAGTATTCTCATGGATAATTTACAAATCCTGTTACCCAGTTATAAATTTCTGGAGTTATCACTTATATATACAATCAAAAATACAGATTTACATCACCATCACTATAGTTTTCCATCCTGGGACAGAGAGGGATTTATTCTCAGCAGGAAAATAATATCTTTATTGCCTTTTGTTTGGAGGTCAAATCCACAAGAAAAGGCAGAGCAGTCATCACCACACTACTAAATAAACATCATCCAACTGCCCGGATTTAACTGGCATTCTTTAGAGGGCTTAGAGAGCTCTAAGATCTTTGTAAGATGCAGAAACATTTGTTAAGCTATGACCATGTTTCACTCAAAACAATTATATTTGGCAATATTTTTTGCTATGGAAAATTAAAAGTTTCATGAGCAGTAATTAATTGGAAATTGATGTAAACATCAGACAAAATATGCAAGATATATATATACTTGGTTGTTTGAAAAAGATCTCAGACCTTCCACAGTATTAAAAACTGTGTCAAGTGTTTTCTAAAGAATAATAAGGATACATCTCTCATCCTCACTTCACTGTAATGGTACGGATGGGAAAAATTATGGTTAGATATTACAGGGATGAGTTTATGACCAAACAGGAGTGGAACTGACTCACCCACCTGTTCAAAGAAATGTAGAGAAAAAAGAAAAGAAAAAAAAAAAAAACCACATAAAAAAAAAACAACCTTTGAATTAAACTCTCTTTAGAGAGATTTAGATTTTACAAAATCATGTAATTTGACTGTGAAATCTTTTACTCCTTCTACTTGCACACTTTCTAAACTACATGAAGTGGTGATGTAACAACTCTTAGAAGCCCATTTCATACTGGTTTGTGTTTTAAATTTCATCTCACTCTATATGTAGAAATTTTCCCACTAAGACCAGGATGGGAGATCTAAAGAGTTATGAATGTCCAGGTGTTGCCCTGATTTTCAAAAGTGTTAAGTCTTCTTTTATAGCTCTTTTGAAAGTTTTAAAGTTCTTTTAAAAGTTTTGTATGCCTTCTGATGTTTACATAGTTCTACTGGAGTTCTCACGCACTGTTCATGTAAATAGTGATTGTTTTGCATTCTTCTTTGTGGGAGGAGAGAATTGATGGATTGTTGGTTTGACCAGTGTGGTTGGAGAACTGGCAATTTCATCCTCCAATCCACTGTCACTTTGGAATTCTATATATTGTGAGGTCAGAAATAAAATTGGCTCTTTTTCTCTCTTGAACTTACCAAGCTTCTGTGTACTTATTTTGTGTCCAATAGTGACATCCAGGTGTGTTATTCCTTTACCCAGAGGCTGCCTTCACATTCACTGTGCATTTGCTATCCTTCTTCCCCTTATATCACAAAACTAGGTAAGTCTGAAGTACTGATATGGCTATAGGAAAGTCATTTGGCAAAACTTACCTGCCACAGGTGGGCTCACTAGATATGGTATGGCATGAAGAAAATACACAACCCCCAGTGCTGATGATAACAAAGGAGTTCCCACTACATCTGCTGTCACCACAGGGATCAGTGTTACATAGGCTCCATCAAAGTAGCCAAAGGTAAATGAGAAAGGCACAAGCAAGGGGAAGCTTTGGAGAACTGGCAGGAAAAGACAAGAGAGGCCATCCATTCCCACAGCAAAGAGGTAGCAAAAGTACCTATGTTTCTTCAGGCACCTGCAAATTTCAAAACAGAAAAGAAAAATATTAACACTGAAACCAGCATTTTAGCTTCTATGCCCTGGCATGCTTCAGTCTCTCTCTCTTTTCTATAGCTCAAATTTAAGTCAATTGCCTTACACAAGTCTTCACTCAGCAGATGAGCCCAGGTCGGGAAAGTTGCCCACCTACAGCTGCAGAAACATCAGGCCAGCAGCAGCTGTGCTGCCTGCAGTGTTCTTCAGGATGTTCCTAGTGACAGAACGCTGCTGCCAGGATTTTGCTCTCCCCTGAAGTTTCAATGTTCAAAGCAGTATTTCATTGGGCTTTACATCCCACCTCAGCAAGGTGTTCCCAGTATTATGCATACAATATTGCAGTATACCTCTCTTAGCTGTCACCTTTCCTGTCAGCCCTTAAATGTGAGTTAATGTGAGCTAAGTGAGATGGCAATTCTCTTCCTTCCTGCTCCACAAAAACAGTAATTTATTTTTCCCACAAACTAAGTAAGTGCAAAGAATGCATCCTTTTAGAATACAAATCCTTGCTAATTTGGCCAGTATCTACTGATGCTCAGATGCTGTACACTGACATTTGGCATGAGCTGAGTTCACAAAGCATGGTGAGTTCTTATATACTGGAAAATGTATAACAATTTTCAGTTAGTCCTTCCTAGCATGTGCCTAACAATACTGGGCCAGACCCTTGACCCTCATCCATAACTTCTGTGCCTCCCCAGCAGCACAAAAGAGATGGAAAGACAGAGGAAGCAGGGTGAAGTCCCCTTGGAAATAGATATGGAGAATCACACTCAACATATCTCGGGCAACGGGCTACATTTCCACTATCAAACATACAAACACCTCATTTTTCAGGAAAAAAGATATTAAACCAGCAGAATTGAACAAACTCAGAAGAGGCAAAAGATTAAACAGCAAGCATTCCTGAAAGTTAGAGTGTGTTGTTGGGGTTTTTTAAGTTACACATGCTACAGAAAGAGTACATAATGTTAACTTTTATATATTTTATACCTTGCTTGTATCCAGCCTCCCACCAGCTAAAGCTTACACTTGATCAGCCAGAAGCCCTTACCTTCTGTCTGTGAGCCATCCAAAGGTGATATTACCAATGATGTCTATGACACCCAGTATGGACATGAGGAAGGCAGCCTGGTGATGACTCACTCCAACATTCAAAGCATAAGGCACTAGGTAGACAAAAAGAGGGCTGCAGCCATATGCCATAAATAAAATTGACACCGCCAGCACCATGAAGCCTGGCATCAGCAAGAAGTCATATTCCTTCCATGAACAGTAGCATAAACATTCATGAGGCCATAATTTGATTAAAGGTGAACAGATGGACATTCGCTTTAAGTCTTGTTTCTCTGTTTCAGGGACATAATTCTGTTCAAGCAACTCAGAAGCAGTTTTACAATCCTCCTTAAGAGAAATAGGCCGCATCAAGGCACCACAGACACAGAGGTTTAAAACAAAACCTCCCAGGATGAGCAAAGCTCCTCGCCAGGAAAACTGCTCAATTAAGAGCTGGACCACAGGGGCCAGGATGAAGGTACCAATTCCACTTCCTGACATGGCTATTCCATACGCCAGCGCTTTCCTTTTGTTGAAGTATTTGCCCACCATCGCAATGGCTGGAGAATAACAAAGTGCAAACCCAAGTCCTGGAAGAGAAAGCAAAGTGCAGATGGCTTAATACTAAACATGATATATGGAACATATTAAAACAAACCACACAATGTATTTTCGTTACTAGAAATGAATAGAAAGCTTTTTCTGATTCCGTATCACGCAGCCCAGTCTGAGTGTGATGAGAAACTAGGATGATGTCTTTCTTCCACTGGCATGGTCACTGACTTAACAAACCTGATGACCATTAATCCACAATAATAAGACTCAGACAGAAATGATGGGGTTCAGTTCATAACAAGAACAATGATGATCACTAAACATGAGAGAACCGGTGTGCCAGCCTCTCCTGCATAAAAGATGAGGTCTTGCCCAAGGGTCTGCACCAGTGGTGGCACTGGACACACTGTCCTGACGAGGCACCACTTTGTGTTTGGGTCTGTTGTAATCCTGAACATTAATTTTCAGGTCTCTGAAACACAGTACAAAGAGCCTATCTCTGTTACTAATATTCTACAAAAAAACTCTCTTGGTCCACTAAACAAACTCCTTGCAACAGCTGCTTGGAGTCCTGACCATTTTAAATCCCTGTCTACAAGTAAAGAGGGGAGGAAAGCCTCAGAAATCCAGATCCAGTTGAGTAAACAAATAAGATTAATCTCTTGGATGGAGAAAAAGATTGTGTTCTCTGCTGCAGAACCAGAGAGCAGGTTTTAATCATCAAGTGGTTGCCCTAACAATAAAATATGTATTTCTGAATCAGTAATAGAAATTAGTTCCTGACTAGGGTTTTGGAGCATGTCCTACATTGAGGGTAAAACAGTCCCCAGAGACTTTGGCAGAACTTGCTGATAGAGGATAAAACAGTCCCCAGTGCTGTAACCGGCTTGCCATATCCTCCTCAAAGGCCACACTTTGTGGGGCAGGCACTAAACCTGCCAGGATGGAATAAGAGGATTAGAGGGACTCTGGGCAGCGAGTGCCCAGTCTGGCACCCCTCAGGAGGCAAGGGAACAAGCAGGACACAGAGCTGGGGTTGGACCTGTACAGGCAGCAGAGCCAGTGGAGCAGCCCTGAGCTAGACATCATCACTCAAGTGCTATGAAAATCATGCTTTACTAGGCATACACACCATTTATTTTTCAGTGAGTTGGCAGGGAGAAATAGGTCTCAAAAAAGCCAGCAAATATCCTCTGAAAAGTGGAAAGTTTAGAGCTGAAAACATTTTAATGCCTCTTAAAAGGAACTCTGCTACTTATTGATACTCCCCAATCTCACCTCTGCTTCACTCTTTGGTTTCAAGTCCTGCTGCTTTTGTGGATTTAGACATTTACTAGTTGTGGTCTCATCTGCTCTCTGGGTTGGGGGCACCACATCTAGCCTTTACCAATCAGTCCCCACAGGTTAAAAGTTCACTGCTTGTAATGAAGTTGGATCTTTACCACTCCATGTACAAGTTATAACTGCTTTTCCACCTTGGTATTCACAGCAACTCCACTAAGGAAGCCTCAGAGGTATTAACATGGTTTGTAGCACAGTTCCTCGAGTTACAAGAAGCCTTTTTATTTGTTATGAACACATTTTGTCACAGATTAACATTGCAATACAGGAGCAGCATGCACTAAAATAAGGATTTTTTTTTTAAACAAATAAGCTGTTGGCAGCATGTGAACTGCAGTAATTCCACCAACTTCTTACTAAACTCCAGGGGACCAAGTACAAGGTCTTATATCACCGTGGCTACCAGGTCAGTATTAATGAGGAAGGAATGTCAGTGTGACCGTGGGCCCCTCTCAAGTTCCTCTGTGCACAACAAACACAGGCAGATAGGACAGAGCAAAGATTTGTTTTCACCATACCTGAGCAAAAATGGAGGAGCTGCTACAGCAAGACTACCAACCAGCAATTTTTTTTGCTGTTCAACTGGAATATAATGCAGACAAAAGTAAGGCATACAGCTGAGGTGCCTGGTATTCACAAAGAGCTCCTCTATCTCTTACTTACATTTATGTTTTGGTTTAAACTTTTTTCCCAAATATGCAAATATATTAGGGAAATCTAGAACTTCTGCTATAACAAATTCCTCCCAAATCCCAGACAAAACAGGGAATCCTTTTCATGTATACTAACTGCAGCAGTCCTTCCTGACCTCCCATAACTTCAGAACTTTATTGACAGTCCTCTCTAATAGAAGGTAAGAGTTGCTTTTGCAGGGTGCTTCATTTGTGTGATACTAGATCAGTCAGTGCTGAAGCTCTTGCTGGCACAACCTCTCGTCTACAATCATGGGATCAAGTCTGAGTATTTTCATTTGACCAGTGCAGTGTCAATATGACATGGAGGAGAGATTACCCATTGTTTTTAGCATTCCTGTCTTCTGTTCTGGCAGCAACAAAGGGGCTGAATGCCTCCTACCTGTGAGGACTCCTAATGATAAGTAGAGGTGTTCCAGACTGGTGGCGAATGAGCTCAAAATTAGTCCAGTAGATGCAAGCAGCCCTCCTAGCATGATACCAACTTGGCAGGATACATGATTACTGATTAAACTCCCAAGCGGGGCTTCAAAGAAACAAATAAAGCAGGTAGTTAATGGCAGGTCTTCACACACAGTTCACTGCAACAGTTAGAAAAGAAAAGGAAGTAGGGGGAAGCAGGAGAAAATAGTATGTGCAGCTACAGGGTAGTCTTCCAACATAACCCTGTCACAATGGCATGAGCACCAAATATAAAGAAAAAACCTTCTAAAAGTAATTCTCCTGAAAGTCAGGATAAACCTGAGATTTACAGGAGCTTTCTCAGCAGCCATTTCTGTAGCTCAAAGTCATTATGGAACACAGCCAGTCTGCAGTGTCAAGGGGTCAAGACAGGCCACAGGAACAGCCCACACTGTTCATTACTCCATGCTTACAACACTCAGACTTTTCCCCACCTGGAATTTGCACTTCAGCCCTCAGTAACTTTATGTGTCCTTCCTCACAACTCCCTAGCCTTGTGGGCTCTGGGTTAGACCCAAACAGGAGAGGTCTCACATCTTTTGGACAATCACTAGGGCTGCTACCCTTCTCCTGCGCTTCTCCCAACACCGATGTCTTCCAGATCATCCTGCATGGGATGTCATCACCAACCCCCTCCCCTTCTACTACCTGCAATGCCAGGGCAAGGTTACCCTTATTTCTCTCTTTTACCCGAGATATAACTGGTCACAGGAGAGTTGTTGCATCTCATTCTAGCTCTGCCCCTCTGCCTTTCTAGCAATTCTTATGGATTAACCTCTTCTACAGGACTAGGGCATGGATTTTCACCAAGCTGTACAGCTTTAAAGTAAACTCATGAGAAATTCAGTACAACTGCTACATTGATGCACATGATTTTTAATAATAGCAAATTTTCTTTTAAGAGAGAAGACTATTTGTAAATATACACTTTTGATAAAAGGAGGATGGTTGTGACTTGATCTGAAGGCAAGATGTACATCCTGTTCTACATCTCAAATAAAACTCCAATCAAAAGACAAAATAAACAATTGCTTAGTTAATAGCTCTCAAACATGAGGTGTCCCAATAGACCTCAACAAAAGTACGTTTCTGAAAAATTAGATCACTTCACAAAACAAAGTTCTGCTTCTTTTCTTTAGTATGAAGACACTCCCTTGCACAACTGTATTGGGGGAAGCAGCTTGGATATACCATACCCCAGAGATCCCACAGTATCACTCTTTTCCAGGTGACTCCACCAACATGTAAGCATGCTAAAAACAGATGGAGCTGATGCAAAAGTAGCCACATTACTCTTAAAAGGGTAATACACACCACAAAGCATTGTAGCACAGTCGACAATGGAGTGGATCCAAGCAGTTCTGGCATAATCCTGCCCAAAGTATGCCTGGAACTCCACAAAAAAAATGGAGATACACCTAGGGCAGAGAACATAAACACCAGTCTGTGAAACATGGAATATTTGCCTAACAGGAAACACCATTCTCACTCTTCAGGTATAAAAAAGTATCCACTTGAAGGTCCTCTCCAGCTCCCAGGTAAATCAAAATTGTGGTTGTGAACATTATAATTTTCACATTGACTCAGGGGTCACACAAATTCACTGGGACTGACAAAAAGTGAGCATGGCTGTGGGGTCAGAGGGACACAGTGAACCCAAAGAGACCCTACATGATTACTCCCTCCCCAGCCAAGCTGAAATAGCTCTACCTGCCCCAGGCCTTGGTTCTGTAAGAAATCAAGGAGGGGGTGCTGAAAGCTGGAGCAGCTGTCAGAGGAGGCGAGACTAAAGCCAGAGGGCTCTAATCCCTTGGTTGCCCCCGCAGCCTTAGGGGTTTCAGGAAGCCTTGGAAAAAGTAGCAGGAGAGAGTCTGTACCTAACCAGAATAACCCGCTCAGCTGCAGGACATCGGGGGAGATAACAGACCCTCTTCCCAAGGTGGAAAAAAATAAAAAAGCCACAAAGAGGCCAGCAAGACAAGCAGCAGTGCTTGTACCTCGTCACGGCCCTGGTGCAGATGGTGACGAGGAAGCAGCCAGCAACAATCATCCAGCCCCAGCCGCCGTCGGGAGGGCCGGCACGGGCCCGGCGGCGCGGGGCCATGGCGGGGCTGCGCTCCTCGCCTCAGCGGCGGCGCGGGGCCATGTCCATATCCATGTCCATGTCCTCGCCTCAGCGGCGGCGCGGGGCCATGTCCATGTCCATGTCCATGTCCTCGCCTCAGCGGCGGCGCGGGGCCATGTCCATGTCCTCGCCTCAGCGGCGGCGCGGGGCCATGGCGGGGCTGCGCTCCTCGCCTCAGCGGCAGCGCGGGGCCATGTCCATGTCCATGTCCTCGCCTCAGCGGCGGCGCGGGGCCATGTCCATGTCCTCGCCTCAGGGGCAGCGCCCGGCCCCGGCCCTCATGCCCGGCCCGTGGGGCTGCTCGGCACACAGAGCTGCTGGGCGCACGGGGCTGCGGCCATCTGCGGAGAGAAACAGCCTCAGTCAGACATGCTGCACACGCTGGAACGCTGGGGCTGGGCACGGCATCCTGCCTCAGCCCTCCCTGCCATAGAAAAGGGAGCGCTTCCTTCCACATGCAGCTCATGAACATTTCTTGGAAGCAAGAGGGCCATCAGAATTTGAGCCAGTGTCTGGTATCGTGCTTTTCATGATAATTTGGGTGATTTGTCCAGCAGTTGCATCCTAGCACACGGTACTCTCTTCCCCGCTGCGTGCCACTGCATAGATGTGCGAGTCACTTGACTGCTGCCCGTCACTCATTCACCTCCGGCAGGCTCCCCACTCATGCCAAACCTGGCCTGATCTGTATTTTCAATTGCAATCTCTACTCAAACTAGCTACTCTTCCTTGTACACAATTTAGTGCAAAAGTTTTGTTTTGAGAGAATACGGTTTTCACCTTTGTACGCTAAGGGAATGTTTACTCCACAACCAGAACAGATCTGATGATGAAATGACCTCTGTATTCTCACAAGCTAAACCCCAGATGAAAGCTGTAATCAGCAGGACACAGCAACTTAATTTTGTGAGCATGGATAGTTCACAGAAGGTCAGAGCTAGCCTGTCTCTCTCTCCTAGCCACTTCAATCAAAACTGCGTCTGCATCCAGGCCACAAAATGTTCTTTAAACACACACTGGGTGCTGCAGGACACTGCAGGAGAGCCAGTGACACCCACTGGATGGACCCTAGGTGAGGAACCGAGTCATGGTCTTTGCTAAGGGGACCAACAGCCCTCAGTCCTTTTGCATCCGTGACTGAATGGCAGGGCTCGACTGAGGGATGGGTGCCCCGATTTTCTCAGTGCAGGAACACGCAGCGCTGGCTGTCAGTGCTCAATTTCAGTCCATATTTCCGCCATCACCAGCAAACCCTTAGCCTCTGGATGGATAAAAGGTTTATAAGCAGAATATCTGGGATGTCTTTCCATTTTGCTTGAAGAGAAAGTTTAAATACCTTCCATCTCACCTAGCTACAACAGATGCTAAGTATGCAAGGCCACTTCAAATGGCAGTTCAAGAAAGCAGCTACATGGTTAACAGTGAGCATCCTTGTCCTTGAAGCTGCTCAGGTGATGCTCCAGGCTTGACTCTGCAGTGCCTAGAGTTTCCTGACCCAAAACAGCAAGACACTCTAGAACTAGCCCTGTACACCACCACATCTGAACCTTTGAGAAGTGCTCATCAGTGACCTCCTTGAAATATCCAGAGTTGCAGCTCAAAGCCAAAACCATAATTATTTTAAGAAAACATATACACACTGCCAAACTCAAAGGTGAGCAAAATAGGAGAAAACAGGTATGACAAACAAAAAACACAACACGATGAAAGCTTAGTTGAATTCCTACTAGACTGTAAATAATATCCTGTAATAGCACTGTACAAGAGGACCAAAAGACTTCTTTTGGAAAACAAAATCTTTGGTAGTGTTGTCACAAATAGATTATATCCTGATTTTTCAATGAAATCTACCATGAATTTATCCTGCCAAATTCACTTGAACAAGCAGAGCCAGTACCATTGCTTTGTACCATGTGGCCACCACATTTTGCATCTAACACTGAGGGCCTTGAGGTAGATACACTGCATTATTGCAAGTTCAGTAAGTTATGTTCAAATGCCTGGAAGATTGAATAGCCCATAAGAATCCATGAATTAACAGGGTACTCATAAAGTTTAAGGTATTTAGCTCAAGAGTTTCCTGGCAATCACAAGTAATATAGTTAGGTGGAATTTGCATAAGCACATGATCCATCACAGAGGGATCCTGAGAACTTCTGCAGAGTCTTGGCAAGGAGAAGCTTCTTATTTTGGATCTGAGCAGTATCTTTCAGTGCCCATTCTACAGGAATGAAGGTTTTGTTTTTTTGTTTTGGGTTTTTCTAGGGGTTTTTGTTGTTGTTGTTGTTTTGGGGTTTTTTGTGGGTTTTTGTTTTGGTTTTTTTTTTGTTTGGTTGGTTTGTTGGTTGGTTTGGTTTTCTTTTTCAAGTTTTGATTATTTAGGGTGGAGGAGAAACTTCCAGGAATGCCAGAATGGATAACAATAACCCTTCAATAAGCAGAAATATATACAAAAATTTTCAGAGGAGTCAACGATCTCTACATACATTAACTTTAATGCACAGACAGTAGTAGCTGGGTGGCATGACCTCAGCCTAGATCTCTGGCCCAACTTCCCAGGCAAGCTTCAGCTCAGGTTGAGTTTACATTTTTAGCTGTACATTAACGTACTTGGGAAAAATTTGATGACATATCAGGCTAAGTAAACATAGATTAGGTGTTTCGTTACATAGTTACTTGCTGTTATTTTCCCAGAACCCTGGCAGCAAACATTTAATGAGGTTACAAGCAACTGAAAACAACCATAGTATAAAAAATGCCTGGCCAACAGGAAAAGGCCACCCAGCCTCCTTACAGCAGATTAGTGCAAACCTCATCTCCTTGACTCCTTGACTTGCTTCAAGGAGTGCTGTGCCTTTGACAGACACTGAACGAATAGGCAAGTTAAATAATTACCTTTCTTGTTGCTGCACATGTCTAAAAGCACTTATTATGTCAACCTGAGAATTTTATTCAGAGGGTAGGAAACTTCATTTGCTTACACCCTGGTGCTGTTTTCTACTTATCTGTATGGTAGATAGTACAGATTGTGGACTCTGCAAATGAAGCTGAACAGCAAGAAAGCACACTTTATCTGTGCAATCATGTCCTCCCCCTTCCCAAATGCCAGTTTGCTCTCAATGTTGCATCTTTTTCTTAACCTTTCTGGTATAAGATAAGACTATTTTTGAATATTTGTTCCACTGTAAGGCCTGGCAGCATTGACTGCTATTATAACATATCTCAGATGTACATGAAAGTTCCTGCTGCTTGAGACAGATGAAGGAAAGCAGGGTTAAAATATAATCTCATGAAACAGCTCTATACTTTGCTAGATAATTTTCACCCAAGCACTAAGTAAATGTGCTTTGCTGTGAGTTCAAAGAAGATGCAAGTGAGGTAAAGATGGTACAAATTCTGCTGATCCCTTAGAAAGCCTCAGTTACCCAATGTGCCCTGGCAGCTTACTAAACAGTGACTCTATTCCCCCAAGTTAAAACATTAGGTTTAATTTGGCAGGATAAAAAAAACCCTATTAGTTACTTCAGCAGCTGTTTTTGAGAAGCCTAGAAAGAAGGCAAGTGCTCCTGAGAGCACCTCACTTACTCAGTCTTTCAGCAAGCAGAAAGGAGGGGGTGAGGTTACTAAAAAGGCACTACCATAACCTTGAACCTCATCACAAGGCCCCTTTTGCCAGGAAAAGGAGCACAAAAATCCACAGCAGCTTAGCAACCTGCCAGCACAGCAACAGGAGCCACTGACCTTTTAAACAGCTCACGGCCAGCAAAGTGTTCACTGCTCCCTCTGCCTACCTCTCCTGCCACCCTAAAGGTTTCCTTCTTTGGAGTAATTCATTCAATAATGATATCACAACAATGTGACAAAGGACAGAGGAGCAGCAGGTACAGTCACTGTGGCCTGCCTGGGGACCAGGGGTGGCACTTTTCCTACCTTGCTCACCTGCTCCATATACAGTGCTGGCAACTCCCTCATCTCAAGAAATATCCCCTACAGTGCCTGACAGTTTGGATGCTTTTTGAAAATGCTCCATTTGCAGAGGGATACAGCTTCAGCCAGAGGAACAGGCAGAGAGTGGTGTTTGTATCACAGTTGTCCCACAGCAGGAGAACACAGAACATAGTGGGCATCCCACTCTACTGCTTTCTTATTCTTCACCCTATCCTGATTATACAAAATAATAATAGCTCTGTGTGTTTAGATGTCTTTGCAATTTTGTTCACAACTGCATGGAAGGATTCTGTGCAGTTTATCCCAACAGAACTGGGAACTGGTCCAAATATCTATTACCAGCATAAATAAGCACAGACTCCAACACTTTTACCTGTTCCATAATGCAGAGATGTACATCTCAGAAAAATGAGAAAGAGACTTATCTAGATTTTTTTTTTTTTTGTGGACATACAGTTTATCTATTTGGATGTGAGATACATCCAAATAGATAAACTGTATGTACCACTTGCTGTCTTTACCATGAAAATGGGGTGGGAGAGGCCTGAGAAACCTGTGACAGTCTCTGTGCCCAACATGCCAGGACACGCTTCCAGAACAGGTTCATACACACCAATGAATTTAAACTGTACTTCTCTGGTGAACAACAACACATACAGATTTCAAGGTCACTTTAAGAACATTCGTGCAGATGAATTTTATGAAGAACAAATATAAAGCAGCTTAAGCATAGCTGGAGAAGATTCATTAATGCGTGAAAGGTAACAGAATTGCATATATTTACTACATTTAACCTATGCACCTAACTCTAGGGCAGTTTAATAGCTTCTTGTATTTACCCTATTCACATAGCTTTAGGACAGATCTTCGTTCTTGTTCTTCAGATTGTGCCAATTATTATTTCTAGGCACTTGCTACATTCATGTTGATCTCTTGTTTTAATACTCTCTTGCTTTCTTTTCCCTTTGACTGCTGCATCTTCAATGAAATGAAAAATGAACAAACTAAAGAACTATAAATAAAAGAAAAAACCAAAAAGGGTGTGGTATGAGTATTAAAGAAAGAAGGGAGAAGGAGGAAAAAGCTAG